TTGTTAAGGCCTAATCTCATACCAATATGGAAATCTCTGAATAGTAATGGTTCAAAAGCCCAAGAACACAGAAATTGTTGGCCTTGAAGGTTTGGGCCTAAAGAGGAGATGAAAACTTTTTATTTTCTGAATTAGTTCATGATTGCAAAGTTTTGAATCCACTCATCCTTTGGTCAAATCTTAAATTTGCAGGATCAACAGCATCTTGTCACCGAACGGAACAAGTGAGGAAGGAGCTGTATATAAAGGCGGCTGAGCAAAAGCTAGGACTATAATCGATTTTGAAAAATGGGGATCAGTCATTTTCTAGAACTAGAGAGAGAGAGAAGACAGGTATATAGATCGAAACGTGGTAGAGAAACAGTATAAAAAAGAACAGCGAAACGTGGGGCAGAAGAGAACATAATCATGATAACTGCGACTTCTAAAGTGTCCACTTTAGTTTGCTGCCAGGAAAAAACATTAACAAATAAAACAACAAAAGTTATCCCACTTTCTACATACATTAACTTACGATACCTTATTCATATGTTAGTGAAGCGTAACTGAGTTAACACTCTTATATAATCATGTGGTCTATGTACTATATGTAGACCACACGTACGTATGTATTCATAACCAGTAAGTTTTTGATTTGGTATGAAGTCTGCAATGTTATAGATTAGTTTAGTGAACAAACAAAAATGTAAGTGTGCATGTGTTAGTGACTTGGGTTTGCTCCATAATATAAAGAAAGTGAGAAGTGACTTAATGTGCACAAAGTTTCCTTTGGCAAAAAGACCAAGGCCGGTACATAACAATTAACAAATTGTATTTGCCACTATGTCCTTATATGATTATATATTTATTTATGACTCATCTATCATCCTCTAATTTTATATATATCTTTATATGCAACCACCAAATAGGCCAAATTGATTAGTGCATATTGATCTTGCTAGATCTTCCAAACAGTCTTCGTATCAGTCTTGTTCTTTTAACGAGACAATAATGCCGTCTTATTCTACTGTTTTTTAGACGTTAAACGCGATTTGACTACTCCCTTTATATTTTTTTCGGTTTTATATATTTAAATAAGTCGTACAACAAAATATTAACGGTGGCAGTAAGACCAATTTGCAAACAAAAAAAAAACTTGTACAACATTCCAAAACTAACTCGTGTTTTAAACATTGTGTAGGGATTTAGCCACAACTCAAAAGTCTTCAAAACCTTAACATAAACTAATGTGACTATTTTTACAATCAATCGCTATAGCCATGGGCGAATCTACGCTATAAAGTTTGTATATTTGTCCGTGGCTATAAGTTTTTAAGGTTTGTAATGTGCTTCTAAACAAAAACTTCTACATAAGGTAACAAAAAGTTACAGTTATACTTCAACTAAATAATTAGACATCAAGCTTGAATGATAATGACTAATTAATTTACTATTTGAAAAAAAACTAGGTGTCCATGTGCATAAAGCATTACGGATCTTTTGAATACCTTCACTAGGAAACTAAACCAATAATTAAAGACAGTGCAGCACTACTAGCACATAGTATATGCCTTAGGTTTTTGGATTTATAAACATTCAAAGTATAAATGGTATATACTACTGGATATTTGTCTTCGTCATTTCTTATTTCAGATTTAGGTACGTGATAATGATTCACATATCAACCTTAGCTGCCCATAACCCCCTTGAATTTGTGATTTCGAACTATAATATTACAGATAATAACAAACATTCCAGTTTTATGTTTTCTAATTTGATCAAGAGTATAATAAGCGACATGCAAGCATAATTAGTTCAGCTGGCTATAAAGATTATTATTATTTGATACTCTATGATGCTACGTACGAATCGAAAAGTGGCCTATACTCATAGTGAACTACCAAATAAACAATTGACAGTTGGATTGAGATCAGAGAGAACATATACTACAAAAGAACCAAGTTTTGTAAAAGACATATCATAACCAGTAATGTGATCATTTAGTATTAGCATATGAGCCACTGATTGCATATACATGTTACTATATGGAATATAAATAATGGAGTGGTTACATAACCATAAAGGGTAAGGGCATATGAAAATGATCTAAAGAAGAAAGAAAGTAAAGGGTATGAGCTGAGATCAATATATAGCTTTACACGTTAGAAGTAGTCAGTGCATATGAATCCATCACCATTATAAATAATACTTTAATATATTTTAAATTTTCGTGCTGCATGACGAAAATGTTAATTAATACTATGTACAGACAGATTAGTTATTTATTGATGTTTGGTTTTAAAATTGTTAATGCATAGTGATCTAGTAAGTGTTTTAGGTAAAGGGCATGGCCACTAAGAAACTGCGAGAAGTCTAGGCTAAGGAAAGTATAGAGACAGACCTTTCAGTGTTTGAAAAGCAAAGTATAATTACTAAATGAAATAATAATAAACATTTTTATTAGTTTATTGTTATATTTCAGAAAATAATCAAAAAGAAAGGTTACCTCATGCGATATGTCATTTTCAGCTAACCCTTCTGGTTGAAGAGGTAAATACCAAATTAAAACACGATTTTTTCAAGATTGTTTTGCTGTTTTTAGTTAAACACAGACCAAAAACCTTGATAAAAACCATTTACGTGCGATATAGTTAAACTGAATAACATTACGTTTTTTTATTAAGAGTCAAGAAACGTATCACAAAGGGAATTGATTAAAATACATTGTTGGGGATTTTACACACTACACCAAAAAACAAATCACTGATTTTTACTTAATTACTTCTTCATTTTATTTGCCATTTTATTATTTAAATATATTTGCTTCACCACCTAAAATAATTTTATATCCACTCTACATCGCCGGTTGGTATATCATATAGTACTATTTAAAAAGAAATATACAAATTGATGAGTAAGACAGCATTATTATTGGTGTTATGATATTTTTCATTATTTTCTTGTTTGTTAGTTCCCATGAAATATTTTAATTTTTTCAATATTTTAATTCTTTTACATAAAAAAAATTAGCAACAACACGCGCAAACACGCGCACATACTGTATTCCATTTTTTTATTTAAACCCATAATAAAATGGCAAAGGAAAATCAAAAGAACAAAACAGCAAAGAACAAACGTCTTCTTCTTCTTCTTCTTCTCTCTACACAACAAAGAGCTTCTCTCTCTCTTTTGTCTTTCCCATTCTTTTCTCTTTTGTCCTCCTTCCTCTACACTCTCCGTATCTTACAATCGAACCCGAAACGTCTCTTCTTCCTTCTCTTTCTGTCTATTTTCAAAACCATTTCTCTCAATCTCTCTCGGCTCTTGTCTCCTTGATGATACTACCCTTGTCTTCATTCCCACTCCCGACATACCCATTTCATCTCCATCTCCTACTTTTAAGAAAAATCTAATCTTTCGTGTCTTTTCACTAACCAACACGGCATTTCCACTCGCAAATCTATAAAAGTTCGATACTTTATCGGTCTGAATCTCGAGAATTCCAAAGATTCACAGACCCACGTGCTCTCCTATTTAAAGGTGTGTAATGAAATTCTATATGAGCTTCTGTTTGGTTTCACTGTCGTGTTTAAATGTTCTGATTGGTTCATTTAAATCTGTTTCCTTGGTCCTAAATTGATAGATGATGGGGTTTAGTTTAGGTATTTAATGATGTATGGTGTTACCAGATATTCGCTTGTGATGTAAGCGTCAAGACAAACATTTTTAATTTGTTTTACCTAATACCTAATCTTTTTGTATTTAATTGTCATGAGTTGATTTCTTGACGTTGAAAAAACATCACACAAACTTTCTTCTTTTAGTTTCTTTCTGTCTGGAAAAAAAATAATTATTTCCTCTTCTTTATTTCAGATGTGATTATATGCATGTCTCATAAATCAAATCTGGTTCAAAACTTTCTCTCTTGATTTGTTTTTATGGCTTGAAGAAGCTAATTGATTATATATGTTGTTTAGGCTCTAATCAGTTCTGCAATTTATAATCTTTTTAATTCTTATTATCATTATCTTTTGATAGTGTTATTAGGTGAATTTTCAAGATAATTTTGTGTTGTTTTTTTCAGTAACTTTTTTAAGATGGAAGCAGAAACATCTTGGACTCATTATCCGTACAACTACATTACTACTACATACATCACTGAAGCTGAACCATACTCTGAGCAAAGCGATGATGATGAGACCACCAAAGACCAAACCCTCTCAATAGATTCTCTCCTCCCAGACGATTTACTAGAGAGAATCTTATCCTTTCTCCCTATTGCAAGCATCTTCAGAGCAGGAACCGTCTGCAAAAGATGGAACGAGATTGTATCTTCTCGTAGATTCTTATGGAACTTCTCCAACAACAACAACAACTATGTCTCTCAGAAGCCTTGGTACTTCATGTTCACTAGCACTGATGATCCATCCGGTTATCTTTATGACCCGGTTATCAAGAAATGGTATACCTTTGACCTCCCTTGTATCGAGACTTCGAATTGGTTTGTTGCTTCCTCTTGTGGATTGGTTTGTTTCATGGACAATGACTGTAGAAACAAGATCTACGTCTCAAACCCTATCACTAAACAATGGAGGAGACTCATTGAGCCACCAGGTCATAAATCTACAGACTACACAGCTTTGTCTACATCCATGAACAGAGCAAAACAGAGCTACTCTGTTTCTGTAGTGAAGTCAAAGCAAGTTCCGGGGGATTTTTTTCAATGGGAACTCTCTATTCACCTCTACAGCTCTGAGACAATGACGTGGACAACTTCCTTAACCGATGTGTTAACCGGATGGAGAGGAGGAGACGAGAGTGTGATCATCAAGAATGTTCTTTACTTCTTGATTTACTCTACAGGAGGGTCTGATCATCGCCACGGTTTGATTGCTTCCAACTTATCATCCTCCTCCTCCACGTCATCTTTGATGAGGAGTTTCATTACAATGCCGTGTTCTTTAACCTGTGGGAGGTTGATGAATCTCAAGGAGAGGCTTGTGGTCGTTGGAGGGATAGGGAAACAAGATAGGCCAGACATTATCAAAGGGATTGGGATATGGTGTTTGAGAGAAGGTGGGAGAGAGTGGCAAGAGATGGCGAGGATGCCTCAGAGATACTTCCAAGGGTTTGGTGAGTTGGATGATGTTTTTGCGAGTAGTGGTGCTGATGATATGGTTTATATACAGAGTTATGGTTCTCCTGCGCTTTTGACTTTTGACATGAAGTTAAAGTGTTGGAAGTGGTCTCAGAAGTGTCCTGTCTCCAAGAAGTTCCCTCTTCAGCTCTTTACTGGGTTTAGCTTTGAGCCAAGACTCGAGATTGCTCCTTGAGCTATATGAGTAATGCTTTTGTTATTTATAATTTGGTATTTTATTAATCAGAGATTTATCTAAAGAGAGTGATATATTTTTAATTTGATCAATCGAATCCTCGTTTTTTGTGGCCCACAATATCTCATGGTCTGAAACTTGAGGTTGTTGTCTTGTTGCTGTTTCTGGAGGATAAAGTAAATTTTTCTTAAAAATTACAAATATTAATAATTGTTTTTAATGTGTACTTATTGTAGATAGCTGTAAATGATTTTAAGATTTTATGTTTTGTACTTGAATTGAAAAACTGGACCTAGATTGGTGATGGGAGTTTGTCAGGTTTGGCAGTGGTAGGTTTACAGGTAAATGGACAACAGCTATTTTGTTGTAGTATTTTATAGTTTTTCTAAGGGTCACTTATTTCAGTTTTTAATAGCTTTAATAATTTGCTTAAATGATACTGTTTTTTTAATAATAACGTTTGTATGGATTCTGCAACTTTTTGATTAAGGTTTTATTTACTTTGTTACTTAATAATAACTATCTCAAAAGAAACTTATCAGAGAATTACTCTGACCCATCAACTCAGTAGAGACCTAAAATATCAACTCAATAGAAAAGTAAATAATAATTTGGATTTGATGGAGATGGTTAAGACACAACACATTAAAGGATTAAATTTTTTAACTGGATGTTAATATTTTTCCACAACTTGTCAGATATTGGATATGCTAATAAACATTGGACATTGGTCTAAAAAGTCCCAAACCCTTTCTTATAATCCAACAGATTAGTCATCTCAATAGGAATCCCGGAAGGAACGGAGTTCATCCCACCAAGAGACTCTCTTCTTCCAAGGCGGCAAAATCTAAGTTAAACGGTTTAGTTAGATCATTAAAAAGAAAATAATCAGAGAGGCAAATCTTAAAAAAATAAAAAATAGGATCTGTGAAACCATTATAAAAGGAGGGTTAGGGTAATTCTATTTTGTTGCATTCACACATTCATTAACGCTTTCTCATTCAGCTAGCTCAAGATTTGTTTCCAAAACTTTCTTTCTTCGATATCATACTTGTGGTCTTTCTTGTTCATCTTTGCCCTTTGGTACATAATGGCGTCTTCGGATACGATCCAAACATCAACGACGTGACTCAAGTTTCTGGTGCTCTTGAATACGAGTTATGCGATTATTCTTCTCCTAAGGCCGTCTACAACACAGGATATGATGCCGTGACTATCACGGAACCATGTTTTCACTACTTCATCACCTCAAATCAAGCTCAATGCGTATTGGGACAGAAACTCGACGTTCTCGTCGTCCATGACCCCTCCTGTCCCGTTCCTCCACCACCACATCCTAGCAAGATCCTTCCTGTCGGAAAAAACTACAAGATCAGAGAGTCAAATGGATGGGAAGTGTGTGACCCAACGTCTTTTATAACAAGTGGAGTGAGGAGAAACAGTTTCATGTTGGAGATACTTTGCTTTTCGAATACGAAAACAAAATCAACTACGTGTATGAAATCAGCTCCTGTAGCCGTGTACAAGACGGAACACGATCTTGCTAGGCTTACGGAACCAGGAGTTCATTATTTCATTACCATGATGGTCTGGTTACTGTGAAGCTGGGCTTAAACTTCGAGTGATTGTTGGACCAGTACCCGAAGCTGTTACTTACCCTAATTTTCCTAAGAAGGTGCTATGGAGCACCTCAACTGGTTACAAACTTTCAAACACCAACCCCATCATTAACACACATTCGTTTGGAATTGTTGTTTAGCAGCTTTAGTGAGAGTAGTTTTATGTTACCATCGTTGTAGATTTTATTTGTTATGAGCAGTAGATTCAATAAAATTTCATGTTTCATTCTTCAATTATGAATTTTTGAGTGTTACAGTTAAAGTGTTTATTCTTCAAATATCTTCAACCCGCCTTGTACTCAAAGAAGGAAGTATCTTTGAAGGTTACAACAAGGAGCTACTATGTGGAATACAACAATTCATAAAAGTATATTAGATAGTCAAGGGGATCTAATTAATAAACATTAGGAAACCACTAATACTTGTGTCTTAATGTAATTAAGAAGCATTTAACAAGAAGAATGCGGCATTACATATGTTCTCAGAAACATATCCAAATCTATTTTAACATAAACATAGCAAACCATTAAATATCTAAAGAAAATCGGAAATTGCTTCATAAACCAATCCGGTTATTAGGTATTTTAGTTGATCTAGTTATAGTAAAAAATCTATAAATTGATAATATTGGGACTTTGCTAATTTATTAATTTATAGAGTTATTAATTTATAAAAAAAAAAACAGGTTTTTTATCTTAAGATATATTTTTTTAAATAAGAAAAATATTCAGTTTTAGTGTATATACAAATTAATTAAATTTTAAATTTAGACATTTATATTAATTTTCTCATATTATTTAAATTTATAAAATATGTCTCAAAGTTTTAAATGTAATTTTAAATATAATTTTACTAAATCTCATCAAAATATATTAAGTGTTAAGAAATATAAAGATAACTTTGTTATGAATGTAAAATAAATAATGGTTGATTTGTACTTATATAAAATATATATATACATGTAAATTATTGATATTTTAATGAAGCAATATATTTATATAGAATTTATTTAAGAAATCTTATGATATTACTTTATCGATTTGTGTAATATTTTGAACTGATCCATCTTAGGATCAGAAAAAAATATTAGTTTATGTTTATTAAATTATCGAATATTAATTTATATAATTTTGGAAAACTTACAAAATTTTTTTTCATATAATTAAGAGCCATTCAAGGATATAAATACATTAATAATATCAAGGCTAAAAGAAAGAAAAATGAATGCACAATACAATGTTTTCTCAGAAACAAATCCAAATCTCTTTGACCCAATATACAGCTAAGATTCACTCAGGATATTGGTTCATAAACCAAACCGGTTATTAAATAGATAGATATATAAGACAAGTCTCTTCCGGTTATTTAGTTTTAAATTGTGAATTACTGCATTGTGGCTTTGCGGGTAGTAGTTATATGTTGCAGAACCGATCCAGAATGCATGCCATCCCAACCATGGCTTAATGAATATAGTAAGAGAGGAGATAATTTATGTATTTTTATCATCTAATAGATGTATTAATAAAATTCCTATAAATAATACTAATATTTTTAAAAAGATATTATTATCAAATAAATACAATTATGTTTTCTATAACCTTTGGTAAAATATATACAAGTATAAGTGAAAATTATATAAAATATAAGTGAAAATCATATAAGATATAAGTGAAAATTATATAAAATATATGTAAGATATTATTTTTAAATGTGAAATTGGTATTAACACATATTACCATACAACTAACTTCTTAAAATTATCTTTAATAATTACTAATAGAGTTGAGTTAGTTAATAAAAATTTTGTGCAATATCTTATATTATATATAGAAAAAATTAAAATACGTTATTAAATGTTTGTTTCTGACATAAAAGTGTTAGATCAGCACTGACATGTTGCAAACTTATAAAATGTCTATTTTTTTAGTAAGTGTCTTTGTACGCTAAAACTTTTTTTCAAAAAAAGAAGAAGAAAAAAAACGTCTTTCTACGAAGGCCGATCTTAAGCTTATCTAATTAATCATTAGGAAACTAACACATGTAATTAAAAACATCTAAAAAATACATTATTATGAGCAGAATTAAAGAGGAAAATGAATGCGCCGTAAAATGTTTTCATAACAAATCCAAAATTCTTTTGACATAAACATAAAAAACAGGAAATTGTTTCATAAACTTGATTTATTTAATACTCTCTCTCTCTTTTATTTTAATTGTAGTTTTAAGTTTTACACACAAATTAAAAAAATATTTAATTTTATATATTTTTGAAATACAAATATTAGTACCTATATATTTAACTATATTTTGATCAATAAAAATGTATACAAAATCAATAAAATTTACAGTAAAAATATAAAATAACACTTATTCTGATTCAAAAAATTTATCTTACAACTACAATTAAATTAAAACAAAGAGAGTAAGATTAGAAAACACGTTACATTTCTTGTCTTAATGTATTAAGATGCATTCAAAGATGTACATTAATAAGAGCAGAGATAAAAGAAAAGAAAAGAAAAAAAATGAATGCACAATATAATGCTTTTTCAGAAACAAATCTAAATCTCTTTGACCAAATATACAACTAAGGTTTGTTTTATAGGTTGAAAAATAATTATCAAATTATTTTATCAATTTATCTTATATTTTAAACCAGTCAAATTTAAAATTGAATTTTTTTTATTAATTCATAGAGTTTCTAGTGTAATAACATTAGAAAAACCGTTACACTTTTGGTCTTAATGTACATGCATTCAAAGATAGACATTAACTAATAAGACCAGAGCAAAAAGACAAGACAAAATTGAATGCACACTATAATCTTTTCTGAGAAACAAATCCAAATCTCTTTGACCAAATATACAGCTAAGATTTACTCCCCGATATTGAATCATAAACCAAACCGGTTCTTAGATACCTATATATATACAAGTACACTCTCTTCCTCTTCGTATCCTTTCATCTCTTTCAAACATCAATTCACTTGATTCATATCTTTAGTCATGGACCAGAATGTGTTTCCATTTGATACTGATTTCGGGTTTGATTCTGATGTTCTTAGTGAAGATTCCTTCTCCTTCCCTGAAGTCGATTTCGGCTTCGCTTTCAACAACAAAAACTTCTCGGATCGGGTGCTTAGGATCGAGATCATGGGCTCTAACCCTGACGCTGAAGGGTCTCGTCGTCGTAAGAGGAGAAGAGAGGATAATAATATCAAGAAGGAATCTGGTAATTATGATATTTTTTTATTATCTTATAAAGGAAAAGACATTTGTTTTGGTTCTGTTATGGAATTATAGAAGAGGGGCTTTATTCAACTGAATTGTTTGTATGGTTTTAGGTTTTGTTTTATAGGTTTAAACTAATGTGTGTTTGGTTTCGTTTTTCAGTTACCATTATGGCGGGTGCTGAGGAGCATATTTTGACAAGTGAGCAACAGGAATTGTATGAAGGTGAGGCTATGGTTGACGAGGCTTTATCAGGTTCTATAAAATATATATTTTAGTTTTGGATTAATTATTCAGTAATTCTAATGAATTAGTAAAAATAGATATACAATACAAAAGGAATGAATCAAATTTTATTAATTATTCAATAATTTTGATGAGGCTATGGTTGAAGAAGCTTTATCAGGTATTGCCAAATGCCAATGTTCAAGAAATCGTTAACGGTAACTAGGTGGTATTTGTAGAGGATTATCCACTAGGCATATTAAAAAATATATATTTTGACTTTATATAAGATATTTTAATTTTGGATTAATTATTCAATAATTTTAATGAATTAGTAAAATTAGATAACAATACAAAATAAATGAGTGAAATTTTATTAATTATTCAATAATTTTGATGAGGCTATGGTTGAAGAACCTTTATCAGGTATTGCCAATGTTCAAGAAATCCTTAGACGGTAATTAGATGGTATTTGTAGAGAATTATCCACTACGCGAACTGTTGTTCTATAAAATATATATATGTTGACTTTATATAAGATAGTTTAATTTTGGATTAATTATTCAATAATTTTGACAAATTAGTAAAATTAGATAACAATACAAAAGAACTGAGTCAAATTTTATTAATTATTCAATAATTTTGATGAGGCTATGGTTGACGAGGCTTTATCAGGTAATGCCAATGTTCAAGAAATCTTTGTAACTAGACATTTTCGAGAGAATTATCTTATTTTTCCGATTTTTGAAACATGGATAATACTAAAGCAAACATCCTTTTTTTAAGAGCTCTTTTTTTTGGTATGTAACTTTATTGATTTTGCTTTTTAGGTGATGAGAACGAAGCAACTAGCAAGCCATACTGGGGGTTTGAGTCTTTGGACAATTTTAGAGCTAATAGGGTTAGAGAAGTTCATGTTAGTTCTCCTCTCTTAGCTGCCAAAAGCCCTTTCTTTTACAAGGTAATGCTTCCTTTTGATGGTAGTAGTAGTCTCTTGTCCATGTATGTGTCTCTCACTTTTCAATTCATTCGCTTCTCCTTTTTAGTTGTTCTCTAATGGAATGAAGGAATCTGAGGAAAAGCGTGTCACTCTTCTAATCCATGCATCAGGTAACATTATTTCAACAAAAACTATTAGCTTGGTATTAATTCATGTGAACATATCTAAATTGTGATGTTAGTTTGTCTTTACAAATGGATTGATTTGTTTGTGTTACTTTTGTGTGTGTTTTGGCAGAGGAAGCTGCTTTGATGGAGCTTTTAAACTTTATCTATACCAATCCAGTGACTTTCAGCACAGCACCTGCATGGTTAGATCTGCTAATGGCTGCTGATAAGTTTGAAGTCACCTCTTGCATGAGTTACTGCATTAAAGTTCTCCAAAGCATGCCTATGACTACCGAGTCTGCCCTGCTCTACCTAGAACTTCCCTCTACTATTCTTATGGCTGAATCTGTTCAGCCTTTAGCCGATGCTGCAAAACAGTTCCTTACTGCTCGCTACAAAGATATTACCAAGTAAGACTTCAAGATGATAATAATAGTTTTGTATGCATTTAATTATAAACAGTTTACTTAACTTTTTTTTTTTTTTTTTTTTTTCAGGTTTCCAGTGGAGTTTATGTCTCTACCATTAGCAGGAGTGGAAGCAATTTTATCAAGCGACGATCTCCAAGTTTCATCAGAGGATACAGTTTATGATCTGATCTTGAAATGGGCAAGAGAGCATTACCCTTCATTGGAGGAGCGTAGAGAGGTTCTTGGTTCACACCTCGCACACTTCATACGCTTCCCGTTCATGTCATGCCGTAAGCTCAAGAAGGTACTCACATGCAGTGACTTTGACCATGAGATAGCATCAAAGCTCGTTGTGGAAGCGCTTTTCTTTAAGGCTGAAGCTTCACACAAGAAACGTACATTAGCTGCTCAAGAATCAGCCTCAGAGCACCGTCGCCTCATAGAGAGGGCTTACAAGCACAGACCGGTGAAAGTAGTTGAGTTTGAGCTTCCTCTACCTCAATGTGTGGTCTACTTAGACCTGAAAAGAGAAGAATGTGTAGGACTGTTCCCTTCAGGGAGAGTCTATTCTCAGGCCTTTTACTTAGGTGGTCAAGGGTTCTTCCTCTCGGCGCATTGCAACTTGGACCAGCAGAGCTCGGTCTATTGTTTTGGACTGTTCCTTGGGATGCAGGTGAAAGGGTCGGTGAGTTATGAAGTGGACTATGAGTTCTTGGCGAGGTCAAAGCCATCTGAGGAGTTCATAAGCCAGTGGAAAGGGAACTATACGTTCACTGGAGGGAAAGCAGTTGGGTATAGGAACTTGTTTGGGATTCCATGGACGTCTTTTGTTGGAGAAGATAGTCTTCACTTCATCAATGGTGTTCTTCATCTCAAAGCTGAGCTTACCATCAGGTCTATTGATCTTCTTCAGTGACCTTTTGTTCTTTCATGGGCAGACTATCTTTGCTAAATCTCTTTCTCTCTTTTTCAGCTTTAGACTTTTGAAGTTTATAGTTTCTTTTAAAACTTTTCTAAATCAGCGACATTTAAGGGGGATGTAAATGCCGTTTGGATTTGATTTATCTTCATGTTTATGCTTTACTCTTCTTGTCTTGGTTTATTAAAATTGCTTTCCTTCTTAGCGTTAGATTGTATTATGAACTATGTTCTATGCAATATGCGTCTTAAGTCTTCATAACTTGTTTTATAAGGAAGAGAGGGTTGAAAAGAAGTAGACCTAAACCCTAACAGAGCCGTGGAGGAGAAGGAAGTTGGCTCATCATTGTCCTATAAAACAAATACATTAGTCATTTAACAGAATTAGGTTCATATCATATTGGATAAAGAATACTTTAACTATCTACTTGGATTGAAATAGACCTCTCTCTTGACCTGAGCCAAGCGTTGTGGTTGAGTTGGTCTTTTAAAATTCTCTCCACAATTAAAATCCAAAAGATTTCGAATGGAAAGTGACCGTTGGTTGGATATCGTACACGTGGTACGGTGTCATCTAGTGTACTCAATCATTTTTATTTAATAGAGACAGTCATGAGACAGAGAGAGGATACATGGAATCTTGATGTTACATTTTGTTACAATTTTTAACAAAAAAAAAAGTACCTATATTTTTTTCAAAAAAAGAAACCTATATAATGCTTTTTTGTGTTATAATTTTGTTATGAAATAGCAACAAAATAATACATTACTAGTACAGAATAAATCAATAGTACAGATTAGAGAAAGACCAATAGTTTTTTTAAACTGGTATCGGTATGCTCGTGCGGGCACCAAGGATTTAGTCCAGTAATTAAGGTATTATTATTATTATTATCATTCTTCTCCTCTAAACCTCAAAAATTTATGTCTGTATCTATGTATCTTTTATTTAATTAAAGACAGGCTGGACATTATCAAAAACACACATAAAATGGTATTCAAAAATATAAAAATTTAATACTATAATAGGTTAATAAAAAAGTCTTTATTTCCCTCTATTAACATGAAGAAAGTTCAGTAGTGTTTCCGCCGTGTCTATCTGAAGCAATGCACGTACCCTCCTCCTCTTTAAAAACTCCTATAAAACCCACCAAACGATCTATCTCTCTTCCTTACTAATCTTTCAAGTCTATCAAACTGTATCTTGGTTTTATTTATTTTTTGTTGAGTTTATTCAGATCTTAATCTCTTTTTTTGTTAATACCATAATGATATTAATAAATTAATCAAGTATATAATCCAAGAAAAGGTGTTATGCAGATTCTATCGCCAGGTGTTTACCTTCTCTGTCCCTTTTCATTAATTCCTTTTCAGATGAGAGTACTTAAAGTGACAAAAGATTATTAAGATTTGCAGATCTAGTATGGTCATGGTCATGAGTTTTTTGTGAGATAAAAAAAAAAAGAAGAAAAAAGCTCTTTTGTCGGTTTGCTCCTTGGGTTGTGAAGACAAGAGACAGACAACTTGTCGGGACGTTCTTGAGATTTTCAAAATTTTGAGAACAAAAAGAAGTAAACTTTCTGTGCGAGAGAGAAGAAAGAAGAAATGGGTCATTACGCAGAAGCAGTGTGGGACCATAAAGCAGCTATTGAGATAACTCAAGACTGGAATGGCATTGACCAAGTCCTTCTCAGAAACCCTCGTGGCGCTTCTGCAAAGGTTTCAAACTTTTTTTCTTATCTCTCTCTCAAAGTCGAGTTTCTTTAGATTTAATGTGTTTGTGGGTTTGGTTTTGTAGGTTAGTTTACATGGAGGACAAGTGGTTTCATGGAGGAATGACAAAGGCGAAGAGCTTCTTTTCACTAGCAACAAGGTATGTATGTAATAGATAGTATCCCTTGAAACATAACAAAGAAGAAGCATAATGATCTGATTTTTTACAATGTAATATTGTGTAGGCTACATTCAAACACCCAAAATCAATGCGTGGAGGGATTCAGATTTGTTATCCTCAGGTAGCTCAGTGTTCTCTCACATGTCTTTATGTTTTGAACATTGTAATAGAATTGTGTGTGTGTATTTGAAGTTAACCACGCGTCTGTGGTTGGGTGGTCAAGGCGTTCCGTGGATCCCTGAAGGGACCCGAGTTCAAATCCGCACCACACCTAATTTTCATAACGTGTGGCCACCGGGGCTTTCACATTCTCTTTCCGGGAAATGGTTTACCATTTTTTTTTTTTTTTTTTTTTGAAGTTTGGAGATTGTGGAATATTGGATCAACATGGGTTTGCAAGGAACAAAATATGGGTGATGGATGAGAACCCACCTCCTCTTAACTCAAAGGAATCCTTAGAAAAATCATTTGTGGATCTTCTTCTGAAGCCATCTGAAGAGGAATTAAAGCATTGGCCTCACGGGTAAAAAAGCATCATCACCACTTGCCTTTCTTTTTATCTTCTTTCTCTTTATAGATGCTAATGTATGTGTGTGTGTTTCACTTTGTAGTTATGAGCTCCGTCTTCGAGTTTCACTTACCATAGATGGAGACTTAACATTGACTTCTCGCGTTAGAAACATCAATGGCAAGCCATTTTGCTTCTTATTCGCTTATCATACTTACCTCTCTGTCTCAGATATAAGGTACTTCTAAACTCGTTACAAAAGACAGCAAAAGATTATGTGTTTTTGGTGTATTATTCATCTATTTTTTTTTTTGGGTTTAATAGTGAAGTAAGGGTTGAAGGGTTAGAGACATTGGACTACTTGGACAACCTCAGCAAAAGAGAGCTTTTGACTGAACAATGCGACGCATTAACCTTTGAATCTGAGGTAAAGATCATGCAAACATGTATCACAACAAAGCTATTTTTTGGTTAAGTAATATCAGTAATGTTACTTTTGGTTTCAGATGGACAGGACTTACCTTAGTTCACCCAAAGTGGTAGCAGTTCTTGACCATGAACGGAAAAGAACATATGTTATTGAAAAGGATGGACTTCCAGATACTGGTAAAGAATCAGACAGTTGATTACTAGTTTTTATTACATGATATGGGCTTTTCATTGGTTATGTTAATGATGATGCAGTGGTGTGGAATCCATGGGAGAAGAAAGCTAAAAGCATGGTGGATTTTGGGGACGATGAGTACAGAAGCATGCTTTGTGTGGATGGGGCAGCAATTGAGAGACCAATCACTTTGAAGCCAGGAGAAGAATGGACTGGGAGGCTTATGTTAACTGCTGTTAGGTCCAGTTTCTGCTTTGATCAGCTTGAACTACAAAGCAAAGGATTCTTCTGATTCTTACCTCTTTTAGAATCCCATCCTTAGAAGAATATTATGATTACTCCATTGCAGTTTTTTTTGTACTGCAACATTGGAAGAAAGCAGAGACATTGTTATGTTTTAGCTTTCTTTGCATGTTATGCTCTCTCATTTTTCTCACTGTAGAGAAGTTTATAAGCAGGCGATTTCTTTTTTTCTTTTGGGGTCAAATAAGCAGGTGATTTCTTAGACCGGTCTTGGTAATGTAGTGACAAAACAAAAAGCCTCTATATATATGTCGTTATTATGGAACAAAAAATCAAATAAAAATAATTAACATGTGTAAGATGGTCATACGATTTATACCCTTGTAGTAGAGATGACAAACATTTGTTTAGGGGATGATTGGTAAGTGCTGTGAGTGCTCTCCACAGCTCATTTTCTTTCTACAGCCACTTTATTATACCAATCATACTTTAGAAAATTAATTTAAACCTACAGCCATAAAATTAAAATAGGAAATAAAATGGCTTTGGAAATCAGTTTTTCTAGAGCTTTACATTTAGTGCTTTGAAAGTTATTAATATAAATCTAGAGCAATGAAATCTACAGCTACAACAATAAAATCTACAGCTATTATTCTAAAGCCAAAAAATAAAAGCCACAGCACTTACCAATCAACCTCTAATATCACAGCGGACCCGTCTTCAAGCAAGTCATAACAGGTCAGGTCTGTGCGGACTACAATATGTACGAACTGCGGTCTCTGAAATAACTGACCAAATTCGTCCACAAAAAATGTAGTCCTTTGTAAGTCGACTCGCAAGAATCTGTTCCACGAGTCTCGTAATTTTACACGGGACTCCAAAATATTAAGACCCAATATCGCCGATATCCAAGTCCAATATTACCATCTCCACGTAGTAGATACTCTCTCTCATATTTTTCAACGAGTGAATTAGTCAAATACCCATATTTGGTGTTGATATTAGAGAAATAACCATAATTTGACACAAAGTCAATTTACTTTACAATTTTACAGTAGATTAGATCTTAATAACCTTCTAACGTTCTTTTTCTTCCAGACATTCTCTTTCTTCATCTGACATTCTCTTTTTTTCTTAACACTCTATTTTCTTGCTCTGCAATTATGTATCTCCTAATAACATATATTTTCTTTTTATTCTCACTCTTTTGCTTATTATAATTTTAAAAAAAATAATATAAAAAATTATAATAAATAAAATAAGTTAACATTTGATATAATTGAAAACATAAATTACAGTTGATTGCAAGATTTCAACATCTCTAAAATTTACAATATGTTATAAATTCGATAATAGTGTTAGATTAATTGTTAGCGGTTAACTAATTTGTTAACTGATACATGTTTTGTTACCGGATAAATTTACTCAATTCGAAAGAGAAATTGAAACTTCAACAATATTTATTGGTTAACATATAATACCTAACGCATGTATTAACATCTACAAATTTGTTAACAACTAATAGCTCTGTTAACAATTATGGTACATGTATTTGTTAACAGCTAAGACATCTACAAATTTTGTTAACGGTTAATGCCTCTGTTAATACAACTGATACATGTATTTGTTAACAGTTAACACATATGTTAACATCTACATTATTAGTTAACAACTAACACCACTGTTAACATCTTAGGCGATTTTAAAAATATCTCAATGTTGGTATTTTCAGGATGTGGTGTAATTAAAATAATTTAGATTCATAGGAATAGTGGTGAAATAGTAATAGGTTTTCTTGGCAACAATATTTTTTACACAGAAAATAGAGTGCATTAACATGATATCTTCATAAAATTAGAAACAAAAATATAATAAAGAAGAAGAGGATGTATCAGTTGATACAAGTGGGTATAGAGTGGATGATACAAGTAGGAGTGACTGTAGAATAGCTGAGCTACACAGAGAAACTGACACGTCTATAAATATAGAAACAAAGGACATTCTAGTCATTATTTTGCAATTGTCACATCATGGGTAATGTGCTAATTAGAGCTCCATTTAGGATATACCAGCAAATAATCTCCTTTTCAACGACTATATTTTTTTCTTCTTTATATATACATAAACTTCTTTACAATTAATTATAAGGCTTATTTGCCATATAGCCAAGAAAAAAATGTAAACTATATTTTTAGAGAGATGATAAACATAGATAGAGATAGGGAGAGAAAGTAGGAAAGATGAGGTGATTTTGGTTAGGTAGTGAATTTGTATTTTTTATGGTTATTAAGCCTAATTTCCTTGATTATATCTCTCGTTTTTTTAATGGCGATATTTCTCTTTTCTCTATATATTTATTAAAACATTTTCTGTATTATCATTTTCTTTATTTCACTTTGGTAGAATTTCTTTTTTATTTTTTTTTATTTTTAGAAAATGTTTTTTCTAATTAAATTTTTCTTCTAAATTTTGTATGATTAATTATAGAAGAATAACTGGTTAAGCATGTGCATCACCCGCCAAAAATGTAAACCTTTGCGGGTCGACTCACAAGAATCTATCATGCAAGTTTCCTAACTTTACGGACCTACAATATTAAAGTCCAATACCGCTCTGTTACAAGTCTTTGCAGGCTCGGTCCACCATCCAAATCCAATATTACTATCTCACATAGACACTCTCTTTCTTCTTTATATGTACACAAACTTCTTTATATAGTGAAACCTCTATAAATTAAATATGTTGGGACTAAACCAAAATTTTATTTTTTTATTAATTTAGAGAGATATTAATTTATCGATATACTAATCGAACCAAAAATTCAATTTGGAACTATAAAATTATATTATTTTATAGAGATATTTAGTATATATTAATTTATCGAGTATTAATTTATAGAGGTTCTATTGTAATTGATTATATCTCTCGTTTTTCAACGGTTATATTTCTCTTTTTTCTCTATTTTTTCTTTTTTAAAAATGTTTTTTTCTATATATATTTTTCTTTTAATTTTTGTATGATTGATTATAGAAGAATAACTGGATAATGTGAAACTGGTCGAACATAATGTTCAGTCATATTTTTTTATTGTTAGAGATATCATGTTTGTTTTATCTCTCATATTATATTTATTTTGCTTTTTAATTGATCTTACATTTTTTTTTTAAAGGTTTTTGATTAAATTTTTTTGTATGTTTGAATATAAAGGCTTAATTAGATAATGTGAAACTAATCGAACATTATATCCTGTCATGACCATTCTTTTGTTGGCACTTGTTTTGAATCTGAACGAGCACAGAGATAAAGTTAAAACACAGAGACAACTAAAAGCATCACCGATCTTAAGAGAGTGAGTAATGTGAGTACCTCACCTCTCTTGGGCCATAAACAGCTGCAATTACTTTTGTTTGAAAAGTTATAATCGTAAAAGCAAATTTTCCAGCAAAAAAAAACAATAAATTAAAAATAATAATAATAAATTTTGCAACGGTCGTCTCCAACGCTCATATAACTTTCAGACACGTTGTTCAAAAAAAAAAACTTTCAGACACCTTTTGTCTTTCCCTATCAAAGTACAAATATATCTCTGAGACTTCTTTTTCTTCACTGTCGTCCAAGTCTTTACCGATTCATCAGTGAGTTTCTTCTCTCTATCTCTCTATCGAATTTCCTTTTAAATCAAATCTGTCTCTTTCATCTATCGATAGATTCGAGGGTTTGAACTAAAGAATATAGCAATTACAGAGTTTTATGTCATCTTATTACACAATGTTAGGTAATTAGGTTACTGTTCATGTTTTGTCTCCATTTAACTTTCTGTCTGTTAATGGATCTCTAGACCCGTCATGATATGTCTCCTGTTATTTTCATAGTATTTTTTGTTTATCATCTGTTCTTCTTGATTTTTCACTTAACAGGTGAGCATATTCACGGGAAGCCACCACGTGTCTCGAGCATGTACAATCGTGGTTTTTGATTTTTATCGTCCGAGGGACACGAACATCTACTTCACAGGACAATTCTCGAGTCTAGACAAAAAAACTAGACACGGTTTTGTCAGCCGTGAGTGATTTCCTAAGGTATATAATCAAAATCTTTTTCATTAGTCTCTTTGTGTTGTGTGATGAATTTAATTTCTCTGTTTTCTAAAATGATTTTTTTTTTTTTTTGTCAAAAGCTTTTCCGGTTTTGAGAGGGGAGATGCTATATTAATGGATTGATTAGTGAGACACTTAGGTTGAGATTCAGAACGTGTAAAACAAATTGGATGCAGGTCTTGTCATTGATTTACCAGTGGTGTTTAGTGATCCTTATACTTCTTTTTACCTTTTTACACTTATGGATCACTTCACTTTGTGGTTCCTAATCAATCCGGCAATTAAGAGTTTCCCCTCTCGTATTTTGAACGGTTTTCTAAAATATTTTGCTGGTTTGGGTTTGCTTGTGTGTTTTCTTGTTTTCGTGTGTTTGCTTGCTTGTGTTTGCAGGTTTGCTCAAAGTGGCCTAGAAGTGGGAAGCAGTGTGTCTGTCTGTGGCTGTTACGTTGTGGCCTCACACCCACCAGACCGTTAAAGGCAACTTCTTCTCTCACTATGAGTAGTCTATGACATTCTCATGTTGGAACTCATGGTATAATAATCAAACTCTATATACTTTCTCTTCAAGCTAACCCTTTACAGCAACAATGAATCTGTGGTATAATAATCAAACTCCATAAATTGTGTGTGTGTTTTTTTTTCTATCAGACGTTGATTTGTGGATTGCTCGGTCTGTGAATCTCTGATTAAAATCTCCTCCTATGCCATGGCAAAAGCCTCGCTGTTTCTCAAACCAGACAGGTTTGGTTATTACTAGTAAAATTATCAACACTCTGAATTCTGATCAAGCTGGTTTTGACTGACCCTTTGGTTTCTGTACAGTTGATCCCGAGGAAGATGGTGAAGAAATCAAAATATGCAAGAAATGTGTGTATATATGTAAATGGAAAAAGGCCCCAATTGTATATTTGATTGACAAAAAGAACATTCAGGAGTCAGTCATATTCAGTGTTGCTTCAGTTCTAAAAGTGTGTACTTGTGTAGTGGAAGTTCATCTCTTGTGGCAGAGTAGTTGTTCAGTTTTCAGTATGAGTATTATGCACACAAGACATGTATTCCCTTAAGGTTTCTCTTAATTCACTGTAGATAATACATTAACCTTCTGCTTTCACATTTTCGTAGGAGAAAATCTGTGACAATTAGCAGTA